GAAATATGGAATCTTGGGTCCTACAGAATTGGGATCTGCATTTTAACAAGATCCTCTGTTTATTCACATGTGCATTTAAAGTTCTGAGAAGTGCTACTTTAAGGGGAGTTTAGTTAGCTTCCTCTTTTTTCCAGCCTGGAATGTGAAGGTGGTGGCTGGAGCTACAGTGGCCATCTTTTGACCATGATGTGACCTCACAAAAGCCACATGCTAAGGAAGATAGTGAAAAAAGCAGGAGGGGACTGAGGCACTGATGACATCATGATCATGGAGCCACCACACTGCCTGGAACTGCCTGCTCCAGATTTTTCTTTTTTTTAAGTAATCTCTATACACAACGTGGCACTCCAACTCACAAGCCCAAGATCAAGAGTCCCATGCTCTGCTGACTGAGTCAGCCAGGCACCGCAGCTCCAGACCTCTTTAACACAAGGGGAATAACCTCTACCATGTGTACTTACTACTGACAAGGAACCACTCCAGATGTACAGACTAGAAGAGATATCAGAAAGCCCGAAGCAAGAAAAAGGCACAGTCAACCATTACTGGATCATAAACCATATAGAATCTTTTCATTTCAAGTTAATATATAGAGGCACATGTAAGTGTATGAAAATTTCCACAGGATGGAAGTATATACATCAACTGGGGAGCCTGGGTGTCTCAGTTGGTTAAGCATCTCACTTGACTCTTAATTGTGGCTCAGGTCATGATCTCACGGTTTGTGAGATTGAGCCCTGCAATGTGCTCTGCACCTGCTTGGGATGTTCTCTCTCCTCCTTCCCTACCCCACCCCCCCCTCAAAATAAACTAAAAAAAAAAAAGTTCTCATCACAAGAAAAAAATTTTTAAAAAAAGTATATGCATCAAAATGCTCAGAGTGTAGGTGGTGGAATTAGGAGTAAATTTAATTTTCTTCCTTATACCTTCTGTTATTGACTGAATTTTTTACACTGTGCATGAATTTTATAATAAGAGACATTGTTTAGAAAATACACGTACCTTACACAAAAGGACACCTTAACATGAAAAAAGGTACAATATTGAACAGGATAAAGAACTGCCAGGGTGCAGCACCTGGCTAGCTCAGTCAGTGGAGCATGCGGCTCTTCTTGATCTCCAGATTGTGAGTTTGAGTCCCACACTGGGTGTAGAGTAACTTAAGAAATAAAATCTTAAAAAAAAAAAAAAAAAAAAGAATTGCCAGGGTGCTTGGCTGGCTCAGTTGGAAGAGCATGCAGCCCTTGATCTTAGGTTGTGAGTTCAAACCCCACACTGGTGGTGGGGGTGGGGAGTTAGAGACTATTAAATAAATAAATAAACCCCTAAAAAAAAAAAAAGAATTGCCTACTCTTGGGGTGGGAATGGGCTACCAAGAAAACAGTGAATAAAGTGAGAGAGACCTTGCTTGACTAATAATGACAATGGGCTTCAAACTGAGTCTAATTTGCACACTCTCTACTCCTATGGGCCAAAAAACTCCCAGGTCACATCACATACATTTTTTAATTTTTTTAACGTTTATTTATTTTTGAGAGAGACAAAGACAAAGCATGAGCAGGGGAGGGGCAGAGAGAGAGGGAGACACAGAATCTGAAGCAGGCTCCAGGCTCTGAGCTGTCAGCACAGAGCCCAACACAGGGCTCAAACCCACAAACTGAAAGATCATGACCTGAGCCAAAGTCAGACGCTCAACCGACTGAGCCACCCAGGTGCCCCACATCACATATATTTTTGAATAAACATCTGTTCACCAGCTTGATTAATTCCTTGGTTTTCAGACTCTACTAAATTAATGTCTGGCTATATTTCAAAATAACATGATCCTCAAGAGGCAAAGAGCAGTCACACCTGAGGCCCACGTACATGTATCCACTTCAGAGGCAGCTCAAAAAACTCTTGTACAAGCACAGTAAAACTAAACTAAGTACAGCTTTCCAGAATCCTCCCTTTAAGGGGAAAATGTTCAAACACACATTTAAGAAGCACTGAAGCATCTTATTGTGTGCACTTCCTTCTTACTGGACTCTCTACACTCTACATATAAGAACATTTCAAGAATTTAAAAACCCACTATTTAAGCTGTCTTTTGAATACAGTTAAGTTAAAATGTGAATACAACAATCCAAATAGGCAAAACTCACCCTAAACTAAAACTATAGCACAAGAGAGTGGCTCAGCAGAGATTACCATACTCATGCCACACAGTGAAATTCAGTAATACCCAATACCCTACTTCACTAGCACAGAAATTCACAAGGGAAGGGATTTTTTTCTTATTTGTTCATTGATGATCTCAAGCATCTAGAACAGTATCTGTCACATATGAGGTGTGGGGGGAAATGTGAATGACTGTATTAGCAATAAACAAAGTCTTCACTTAAATTAAAATACTACACACAGGGGTGTCTGGGTAGCTCAGTTGGTTAAGCATCCAACTTTTGATCTCAGCTCAGGTCATGATCTCACTGTTCCTGAGATCGAGCCCCAGCACAAAGCCTGCTTGGGATTCTCTCTCTCTCTCTCTCTCTCTCTCTCTCTCTCTCTGCCTCTCCTTCTCCTCTGCTTCTGCTCTCTCTCTCAAAATAAGTAAATTTTAAAAAATTACATTCAATTTGCAAATGTCTCCAAGAGAAAAGGATGTTGAATAGTTTCCCACTAATCTGTGCATTCACCTAAGAATATAAAGCTAATACAATTTTGTTAATCAAATACTTAGGTGTTACAAACACATGGCAATGAGATGTAAATTATGGTGAAAAGAGGGCAAGGTAGCATGTATACATGACAGATATCCATGTTAGATGTTCAGGCCTCATCCATGGGGATGAGATGACAGGCACTTAGCACCCTAGGAGTGGCAGGAGAGACAAGATAAATCACCTGCAGAACCCAGACACCACAGGCTAGCTCTAAAGGTGAGGATGAGAAGACGGACACACACGATTTAGGTTTTGTGTTTAATGTAACTTGGAAAGCTATGATGCAGACAACCTGATCCAAACATCTTCAAATATGTATTAACAGACTACCACGTAGCTTGCTGATGCTGATTATTAAGATCAATGCCCTTTTTTTGAATTCTATGACATAGTTTGACTTTCTATATCCTTTTTATAGGGAAAAGATGTGTGACCAACTTGCAGAAATAGTCTTGTTTGCTTGCCAGATATATTTCTCATTGTAAATTTGCATGCTGGCTAATTATAACAGCTTGAAAGTTACATAAATGTCCAACAATAGGGAATCAGTTAAGAATAAAATTCATTATAGTGCATATATATATATAAGACTACACAGCCATTAAAAAACATGATGTAAAAGTAGAGATTGCCATGGGAAAATGTCCACAAATAGAGGACATTTAGAAAATCAGGTTACAAAACAGATGTATCAAATAATCCTGGCTATGTTTAAAAAACTAAATAGGAGAGAAAAAAACCTGGCAGAACCCTACTAAGCATGGGGTTGTGTCTCAGGGTACAGCTAAAGACGCCTTGTTTTATACTGTAATTTTGTAAATTTAGGTCTCATTTTTCTGCATTTTCCAAACTTTCTATAATGAAAAATAATTGCTTCTATAATCAGAAAACAAGCAGCAATAATTTTGTTTTTCAATTTTCTTTTTTTTTTAATTTTTTTTTTCAACATTTATTTATTTTTGGGACAGAGAGAGACAGAGCATGAATGGGGGAGGGGCAGAGAGAGAGGGAGACACAGAATCGGAAACAGGCTCCAGGCTCCGAGCCATCAGCCCAGAGCCTGACAGCGGGGCTCGAACTCACGGACCGCGAGATCGTGACCTGGCTGAAGTCGGACGCTTAACCGACTGTGCCACCCAGGTGCCCCTGTTTTTCAATTTTCATTCAGATGACCTTAGGCAAGTTAATCAACCTCTCTTTACCTATAAAAATGGGGATAAAAGGACTCCTGCCTTTAGGTTACCAGGACATGTAAATGCTTACAACAATCCCTGGCAAGTGGGAGTTGCTCAGTAAAGGTTAGCTATTAGCTCTGAAATTCTTTGGAGTATGCATGTGTACTGGAGGGCCAGGCCTGTCTCACGGGTAGGGTAGAGCCAGCCTGAGAAGCCAGCAGGCCTCTCCATCTAATTCCACAACAACTAACAAAGGTAGAAAGGGAAATTTAGGGCTGAGTTCACAAATTCCCAAGTCTTTAGACACCAGGGAAAAAAAGTAAATGTGAGTGAAGCAGCTGGGAGGCTGACAAGGAGCAGGGTGCTACGGCTCTGCAGAAGTGGCAGCGGGAGGGGGGATGCTCCTCAGAAGTACCTCAATTTGGCCTATTTTATTAATCTCTATAGCCAACATGAGGCTCGAACTTACAACCCTGAGACAAAGAACTGCATGCTCCTCCGACTGAGCCGGCCAGGAGCCCCATTCCACTTATTTTAAAAGCCTGCAGGGGTGCCTGACTGGCTCAGTCAGTTGAGCGTCTGATTCTAGATTTTGGCTCAGGTCATGACATCCTGGTTTGTGAGTTCAAACCTCACATGGAGCCCCTTGGGATTCTCTCTGCCTCTCCCCACTCCCATGTTCTTTCTCTCCCTCAAAAGAAATAAACTTAAAATTAATTTTTAAATAATAAATAAATAGCCTGCACTGGCCTAACAGCCCCCATCTACCCTGTAGCTGCCCTGATTTGTGCATTAAAGTATCCACAGAAAAGACCAATTTAAAGTGATAGGAATTTACAGGTTGTTGTACAGGCCATCCCAGTCAATGGTCCTCTTTCTTCAGGGTGTTCACAACTGGGTTTCAAGTTATTTGTCAGTGTTCCCTCAGGTAGGATGTTGTTAAAACACCAGCAATGAACAGGTTTGTTTGTTTAAGTAGGCTCCATGCACAACACGGGGCTTGAACTCATGAACCCAAAATCAAGTCACATGCTCTACCAGCCAGGCACCTCAACAATGAACAGTTTCTATGCTCACGTGTCAGTCGCTGTTATCAATGATGGAAACCAACTGCATGACCAACCTGTGGTAAGAAAGGGATTCCAGGGTTGGGGGCGTCTGGCTGGCTCAGTTGGTGGCGCGTGCAACTCTGATCTTGAAATTTTGAGAGGTCCACGCTGGGTGTAGAGAGATTCCTTTAAAAAAAAAAAAATCTTGGGGCGCCTGGGTGGCTCGGTCGGTTAAGCGTCCGACTTCGGCTCAGGTCATGATCTCACGGTCCGTGAGTTCGAGCCCCGCGTCGGGCCCTGTGCTGACAGCTCAGAGCCTGGAGCCTGCTTCGGATTCTGTGTCTCCCTCTCTCTGCCCCTCCCCTGTTCATGCTCTGTCTCTCTCTGTCTCAAAAATAAATAAACGTTAAAAAAAAAAAAGAAGAAGAAGAAGCATTAAATATTAAAAAAAAAAAATCTTAAAAAAAGAAAAAGAAAGGGATTCCAGGGTTACACAGTTGAGGGGTCCCGTAGGTAAGTTAGTCTGACTGCTTCCAGTCCAAATGACCAGGAAGGGAATTCAGAGAGTAGGAACTAATACTGGACCAAATGTAATCTGTCCTAGAATTTCAGGGACCATACGATTTATTGTCACAATGGGGATACTTCTTACTTCTGAGACTGGAAAGGAATGCTATTAATAATTCCACCAGAGGGGTGCCTGGGTAGCTCAGTCGGTTAAGCGTCCAACTTAAGGTCAGGTCATGATCTCACGGTTTGTGGATTTGAGCCCTGCGTGGGATTCTGGGCTGACAGCTCAGGGCCTGCTTTGGATTGTGCCTCCCTCTCTCTCTCTCTCTCTGTGCCCCTCCCTGGCTGATGTACTCTCTCTCTCAAGAATAATAAATATACTTTAAAAATAATAATTACACCAGAGGGCGCCTGGGTAGCTCAGTCAGTTGACTCTTGATTTTGACTCAGTTCTTGGGATCCATGTCAGGCTCCATGCTGAGAGTAAAGCCTGCTTAAGACTCACTCTCTCTCCCTCTGCCCCTCTCCCCTGCTGGTGTTCTTTCTCTGTTAAAAAAGCAGGAGGGGGAAGAGGGCTGGCACCTGGGTGGCTCAGTCAACTATTGACTTCAGCTCAGATCATGATTTTATAGTTTGTGAGATCAAGCACTGTGTTGGGCTCTGCACTGACAGAGCTTCTCTCTTTCCCTCTCTCCTGCCCCTCCATTGCTCGCGTGCTCTCTCTCTCTTCAAATAAATAAACATTAAAAAAAAAAATTGGAGCAGGACATTGGGTCTTGACTAGAATTGTCTCAAACAAATTGGGACATATGGCTACCCAATTAAAATCATAGTGTTCCCTAAGGCCTAGGGTAAATTCCAGCTCTTCACTTGAAAACTATCTACTTTTTGTTTTTAATGTTCATTTATTTTTGAGAGAGAGACAGATAGAGGGCGAGCTGGGGAGGGGCAGAGAGAGAGAGGGAGACACAGAATCCAAAGCAGGCTCCAGGATGAGCTGTCAGCACAGAGATGGGGCTCAAATTCACGAACCACAAGATCATGACCCAAGCCCAAGTCAGATGCTTAACCCTGAGCCACCCAGGTGGCTCCACTCTCTTCAAACCACTGTGTACTAGTAAATAACCCAGTAGACTTATTTAAAGGGTTTACTACCCACAGAGGTTTGGGATCTTCCTTTCTGGAATGCTTGGATTGAAAGCCAAGAGTCTCTACAGCCAGAATGAGGACCCTGGGTCCCAGAGTTGATATACTGAAAAGCATTTCAGAAGGCAGTAGTGATTAGTTGATCTCTCAGTTACTGGTCCCTCCCTAGATCCCTGACACCACATCAGCCTCAGGGAGGAGAGACTAAGAGGACTACTCTGAGCAGCAGCTCCACATGAACACAGCAGGGTCAGGAGCTGTCCCACCAGCCACCCTGTTCCCTTTTCCTCTAGGGGTTATAGGTCGGCCACTGGCTCAGAAGCCACCAGTGCAGTAGTGACAGGAGACCATGATTACAGTCCCAAGACCATGTCCATGGTTGAGACCAGCTAGGACTTGTACTTCATGTGCGTTCTACCTAACAACTATCTTCCAGATTCTACTGGAAAACAGGACTACATTACATTCCCATAGTCTGTTTGATAATTATCCTATTCAGCTCTTTTCCTTTCTACGTTGTGAATTTTTAGCTTCTCAAGTTTGCTTTCTTTTCCCTCCTCCTTTACTAATTAACAGAATTCCAAGTCTGGCTTTGAAACTACAGACCTTCCCACCTACTGGTGAAAAAAGTCTCAGCTAGATCAAAGGAAAAAATATTTCTCTGTTCTCCTACAGCTGCAGAAAAGCACGTACTATTCAATGTCACAAAAGTGTTCTTGTTAAGGTTGTTTTTAAGGAGTCCTTCAAGACTCTTGGACTTCAGAGATTGCTACCACATCCTGGGAAAGTAGTCTTTAACTTTTAAAGTCTATAATTCTGACGGACTTACTTAATTTGTAGTCTTGGTAGCACTATTTAAATAGACATGCTAGGTTTTTTGGCTCACTCATGACCACAAAGTGTGTGATTTTTCATTCTTAAACCAGGAGAGGATCATTATTAGCAACCTTCTCTACTCATAAGAGCATGGAAATAAAAATGAACAACAATGGCTTTATTGGATTTCGGTGTTTTGGTTTTTTTTTTAAATGTTTGTTTATTTTGAGAGAGAGCGGATGAGCTGGGGAGAGGCAGAAAGAAAGAGAAAGGGAGAGAATCTCAAGCAGTCTCCATGCTCAGCACGGACAAACCATGAGATCACGACCTGAGCTGAAATCGAGTGGAACACCTAACTGACTGAGCCACTCAGGCATCCCTTATTGGATTTCATTTTCAAATAGAATTTGACAATCAAATGTTTGAATTAATTTTATCAGCAATAAACCTCCAACTACTTAAATGTCTGGTGGTTGAAGTTACTCTTTTTGCCCTTAGCAAATCTCTAAGAGGAGTGACCCCAGCTGTCTGGATCGGAGGGAGTACATCAATCCTATACTAGGGCCAGGGCTCACTCACTCAGCAACCAGGAGAGTAGAACAGGAATGGGCTCCCGGCCCTCCAAGCAACTAGGAAAGGTCTTCATCTTCTAGAGGCAAAATGGTCTGTCCTGTCAGCATAACTTTCCAGTCCTCTTCCTATTCCCTGGGATGAGAGGTCCCTATGATTTCACTAAGGGGACAGAGGGGAGAAAGCAGGGTTGGAGGTCCCATTGCCCATCACCCAGACACCTTTTCTCAGTCCAACCTCAGAAGAGGGGCCACTGGATTCAGACTGGAACTTATTTGAACATGAGGGTTCTGAGAATTTGAGGGGATCCAGATCCAAAGTCCTGTTCTCTACTCGGCTCCATTTCCAAGCAAACATGAAGATGCAGATTCTAAATAGGACACATAAAAACTGTAAATGCTAGGGGTGCCCGGCCAGCTCAGTCAGAAGAGCATGTGACTCTTGATCTCGGGGTTGCGAGTTCGAGCCCCGCTTTGGGTATAGAGATTACTTAAAAAATAAAAAAATGATTAATTAATAACATAGGAAAAAAAAAAAAAAAACACCTGCAAATGTTACTACACTCTGCTCACTTAGAAATCCTAAGTCCACGGGGAACTGAGGAAGGTGGAAAGGAATCCACCTTAAGCCTTCCTTCACAGTACCTCTGAACCAGAGTTCAGACCTGGGAGAAAAGGCTGCATAACATTGGTAATAGTAAAATAAACAAAAATAAATAAGTAACATAAAGACAAAATAAAATTAAATTTAAAAATAAATAAATTAATTAATTAATTAATTAAATAAAATAAGGGGGTGCCTGGGTGGTTCAGTTAGTTAAACGTCAAACTTCAGCTCAGGTCATGATCTCACGGTTCATGAGTTGGTTCCTGAGTTGGAGACCCACATCAGGCTCTGTACTGACAGGGCAGAGACTGCTTCGGAACCTCTGTCTCCCTATCTCTCTGTCCCTCTCCCACTCTCGTTCCCTCTCTCTCTCAAAAAAAAATTTAGAAAAAAATTAAATTAAAAAAATAAAATAAACCAGGAGAGAACTTACTAGAATGAATCTATATTCTTAACAAAAGAATTCAAAAGCCTTTAGAATTACTATGTAACAGGTACAAGTTGCAGGCAGAGCAGGACAGGGGCTCCTAAGGCCTTCCTGCACTCACCACACTATGGTTCTTTACCCAGCCCAGATACACAACACCTCCCCACTTTCCAAATGGCTTATCACTTCAGTTTTATAGACTGAAAATCCTACTCACAGGCAAGGGAAAAGAGTCAGCATGTTAAGGAATCAGGATATCAGGGCAATTCTCTGCTGATGAGCCCTCTAATTTCATGGCTGCAGTCAAGCTAACTGTCCTCCTCTGTTCCTGCCTCTTGGCTCCTTCCCACTGGCTCTAGATACTCCATTTGATTCCTTCTTTCCTCTCTTCTCATGACCAACTGTAGACTTTCCAGCTTTCCACTATCTTGCTGTCCACTCTAACCTAAAAAAAAAGCTTAGATAAAGGTTTTTCTGCTAAAAACCACAGAAATACGGAGAACCGGCAGTTAAAGCCTGGTCTGTGTTTCTGGTTTTCCTTTTTAGGTGATATTCTGGGAATCCCTTTTCTTTTCTTTTTTTTTCAACGTTTATTTATTTTTTTGGGACAGAGAGAGACAGAGCATGAACGGGGGAGGGGCAGAGAGAGAGGGAGACACAGAATCGGAAACAGGCTCCAGGCTCTGAACCATCAGCCCAGAGCCTGACACGGGGCTCGAACTCACGGACCGCGAGATCGTGACCTGGCTGAAGTCGGACGCTTAACCGACTGCGCCACCCAGGCGCCCCTTTTCTTTTCTTTTTAATATTTTAATTTTTGAGAGAGAGAAAGCTTGGGGGAAGGGCAGAGAGAGAGGGGACAGAGGATCTGAAGCAGGCTCTACACTGAAAGCAGAGAGCCCAATGCGGGGCTTGAACTCACAAGCTGTGAGATCATGACTTGAGCCAAAGTCAGATGCTTAACCAACTGAGCCATCCAGGCACCCCTGGGAATCTCTTTCCTACCACACTTTCATTATCAAGGGTGGATTTCAACTCCATCCCATTCATACATACTTTCTCCAACACTTATACTGGGGGCCTCCTTTTTGAACTACAAAATATGGGGGGCTGGCAAACTCCAGATTGGAGTCTTCCACCTTAATGCCCCCCCCCATTTAATATAATTAAATCATTCTGATACAGGATTATAATGACAAAAGGAACTAGACTCATTTCACATATTTGGGGGAAGCTGGAGGAACATGCTCCCTCCGACAGACAGAACCTACTCTGAGGTGTGGATGGGCCCAGTGGGCAATTCCTTTTTGTGTGTCTGGGATGGAAAGATGACAGTGGCGGTGGGCATTCACCCTAGATACCTACCAGTCAGTCCCAGGCCTAAGATCCTGCTGTGGGAATGCTTACACAGAACTCCAGGCAGGAGAAAGGCAAGAACTGAGAACACTTAGAAAACTGTGCATTGTTAATGAATCTTGGGGTCCGGAGTTTCAGCCCCACATGGGGGGGTAGATTTTACTTAAGACAAGAAAAGAAAGAGAGAGAGAGAGGAGAGAAAAGAAAAGAAAAAAGAAAAGACAGACAGAAAGAAAAAGGAATCTCTTGCCTCAAGGCCCAGCAGCACGTCAAGGCTCTCTCTGTCAAAAACACTGGGAATTAGGACCTGTACAGCTCCATCCAACAACACTTGCATCAAAAGAGGGCTTGGCATACCAATAAGGGACATTTCAAGCCAAGTCACACGCCAATTCCAAGCCTTTCGTCGGGCATAAACATAAATACTATAAATTAGAAATAAATAAATATTGACTAAAACAAAAACCAAAAACAGAAGAAGCTTGAGCTCAGCTATTCGGAAGGTCTGAAGCTCTGGAGGCTCTCCAGACCCTGAAGCGTTCCACCACACACGAGCGGGGAAATGTGGAGAAAGACGGAGCCACAGTTAGTGAGAAAACTGCAGTTAAGCCTTCCAGTCAGACCAGTCGGGTCACAGGAAAGTCCTTACTCAGCGCGCTGGTGTTTCCCTTAATTCTTTAGCATCAGTCCGTGTAAAGAGCCTTCTGGGTGCAGTCCAGGCGATTCCACTCTTCGTTTCCGAAGCCCACGTCCACATCATCGAAGGTCACCGGCCCCTGCAACAGGAGGTTTGTGCACTATGGTCCGGGGTCATCCCAGCACCTGCTCCTGGAAGGAGAAGCAGGGCTGGGAACTTGAGCGGGGGAGAGACGCGCTGAGCAGACGCGGTCGGGGGGCACCGAGAGTGGCAGGGCCCAACGACCCCGGGCAGGGGGAGAGACAATGCCGAAGTGGACCCGCGCGAGGGGGCTCGGGACCTGCACCGACTCACCTTAGGCGCTGGGGATAACAGAAAAGTAAAGTACACGCCATCCGCCCTCAGCAACAAGCTTCCGCCCTCAGCAACAAGCTTCCGCCCCACACTCAGTAGAGCAGCAAAACTCCGCGCGCCCAGCCCACCAAGCGTCCGCCTGAGCCTCGGGCCCCGCCCCTAGGCAACTTCGTGCCCTCTCTAGGCTGCGCGGAGGACCTTGCGTCTCGGTGGGCCGCTCCGTAGCTCGCTTGGGGAGCGCCGGTCCCGGGTTGGACCGGAAGCATGGCGACCCGGGCCTCGGCGATTCTGCGAGGCTTGGTACCCTCACTCTTCACGTTTCACGGGAATCATCTTTTTTTTAAACTTTTTATTTATTTATTTATTTATTTATTTATTTATTTATTTATTTATTTTTCGATGTTTATTTATTTTTGAGAGAGAGAGGGAGAGGGAGACACGGAAGCCAAAGCGGGCTCCAGGCTCCGGTCTCTGGAGTTGTCAGCACAGAACCAGATGCAGGGCTCCGACCCAGAAACCGTGAGACCATTACCTGGGGCGAAGTTGGCCGCTTAACGGACTGAGGCACCCAGCCGCCCTGCGAATCGTCTTTAAAACTGCTTTTCCCCATTGTATTTCCTAGTGGACCACTAAAGAGGGGAAAAAAAAAAAAAAAAAAAAGGCAGTGTCACCCCTAATATAAGGAAATGACCACTGTTACCATTTTAGAGACTTTTACTCCTATAATTTTCTACATATAGTTTAATATTTTTGTGTTTTTGTCATCTCCAATTTTCCTACTTGATTTTGTCACGTTAAGCGCTCGCCCCTCCTTCCCACACTGTGATACCCGTTGTAATACTACGTTGACTGGATTATCATCGCTTATTTATTCATTCTGTATCAAATCACCCACACTGAGCCCAGGAATACCAGCCTTCCACTGAATAGCACCACCGAAGTGGGTCTCAGCCTGTCCTTAGGGAAGTGCTGTGAAGCTTGTTACGGTTTTCACCCCAGGGACGGTGCTCTTGTTACACAGTCCCTCTCTATAATCACTCAAAGGAGGACATTTTTATGGTCTTGGTATCAAGAATAGAGCAACGGGTTGGTTTTGGCCTATGGACCCAGGGAGTTTTGAATTTGAGTTGAGCTGGTTGTTAGAAAGCTAACAGCAAATCTTACCAAAGGATTAAGGGGACCAATAAATGCAAAGGTGACTTTCTACTCAAATCTGTTTATTCTCAGAATGCAGCCTGCTTCCATGTTTCTAGAGATAACATTCTTGCCTGGCCTAACAATAAGAAAATGTTGGTTTCCTTATTTTGCAGAATCAAGGTTTCAGTAGAAACCAGTCAGAACCGGTTAAGACAGCCAGCCTTCTCTTTGAGCATGCACCTGTGTCTGACGGATGAATATTTGATACAGAAGGATCTAAAACCCCACCCTTGAATCATACCAAGGAGGCCATTCTCTGATCATAGAAGAGGCATACAGAAGATATGTGAAGGTACAGCCAATGAAATCACTTCAATCCTTCCCTTACTTAATAATTACCTTTAACTGATTTTGAAATCATGTAGCTCCTTTTCCCTATACCCAGATCCTTTTTCATTTACCTTTAAATATCCCTGATTCTCCCCCTTTGAGAAGAGGAATTTGAGGATTGCCCTCCCTTCTCCTTTGGTTTCCTCTTTTCTTTTTCTTTTCTTTTCTTTTCTTTTCTTTTCTTTTCTTCTTCTTCTTCCTCTCTTCCTCCTCCTCCTCCTCCTCCTTCTCCTTCTCCTTCTCCTTCTCCTCCTTCTTCCCTCCCCCTCCTCCTCCAACTCCTCCTTCTTTTTTTTCAAGTAAGCTGGATGCCTAACCAGGGGCTGGAACACACGATCCTAAGATCAAGAGTTACAAGCTCCAGCTCATCCTGAATAAACCCTTTCCTTGCTGCATACTTGATGTCTCAGTTGATTGGCTCTGCTGCACATTGGTCCTACGAACCTGGGTTTGGTCACAAATTTGGTGAGCCAGCCAGGAACTCTTTGACCTTGGTTCAGTGGCCCCAGCTATTAATGGGAGTCTGGTGGTGAGTCTAAGCAGCTGCCTAGGCTCTCTGTCCTAGAGACCTTACTCTGGGGGCCCCACCCCACTTCAGCTCCACTGACCTTCAGGTGCTTAATTTAACTCTTGTGGCAAAGGAAACAGCTTTTGGTTTCAGTATGGACAGATATCTCTTTGGTGAGTAACCTCAGTACAAGTGACTAAATTCTTATTTCTTCCTCCCATTTGGTGGCCTCCAAATAAGGGGTTTTAGTTTGGCTCTCATAGCCTTTTTTTTGTTGCTTGATTAAGAAAAGGTTGACTGGTGCGGGGGGGGGCGGGGGGCGGTGCCTGGGTGGCTCAATGTGGTTAAGTGTCCAAGTCTTGATTTGGGCTCAGGTCATGATCTCGCAGATGGTCATGAGATTGAGCCCTGTGTTGGGCTCTATACTTGATGTGGAGCCTGCTTAAGATTCTCCCTCTCTCTCTCTCTCTCTCTCTCTCTTTCCCTCTGCTCCTCCCCCCCCCCAAAAACAAAAACAAAAACAAGTGGAAAAGAAAAGATTGTCTAGGAAGCCATTTGATTCAGTTGGTGAAGCCCTGACTTTTAGAGTGGAACTAGAGAACCTTTGTTCACAGAGGTACTCTTGGCTTCATTTGGCTCATTTGTTGCTGCAGCTTTTGGTATCTTTGCATTAAACTGGCTGTGTTCTAATTGGAAAATAAGAAATGACAATTTGATCCCTGCATGCAGCCCTTTGGGGCTGCATTCTCCAAAACTGGACAATGTTTAGTTATGAATCTATGAAAAGGAAAAAGATGATCTTTTGCAACAATGCTTGGCCACAATATTCATTAGACTCTGGAAAAAAAAATAGCCAATTAATGGATCCCCAAAGTGTAATACCATCTTGCAATTAGATTTGCTTTGTAAAAGGAAAGGTAAGTCTTTTTTTTGCTTTTGTATCAAAATAAGCCAGCTCAGAGAAGATGTAAAATTCTACTCCAACAAACCAGTGACAATAAAAAGACTGTGTTGCCTGATCCTCACCAGGGAGAGGAGGATGATTTATTGATTACTTTAATTAAACTCCTGTACAGCTCTTCCACCCTATGGGGGCACTGGAGCTACTGTCCCTTCTCAGCAGCCCCAGTCCCAACAGCCTGAGCCCCTACAGGGCCCTAAACCAGGACCCTCAGCCTTAGGGGGTCAACAGGTAGGAATGGTCTCCCCTTCTCATACCCTGACTCAATTTGTTCAGGGAGCCACTCGTTCCCAGGGAAGACAAAATCTGCTAAGGCAAGTCCCAATTGGAGGCTTAGATGCGGTGGGGATAACCTATAGGAATAATTTGGGTCCACTCTTCACTTGAAATTTTTTTTAATGTTTCTTTGTTTTGAGAGAGAGAGAGAGAGAGAGAGGGAGAGCACAAAGAGAGGGACAGAGAAAAAGGGAAACAGAGAATCCCAAGGAGGCTCCGAGCTTTCAGCACAGAGCCCGACACAGGGCTCGAACTCACGAACCATGAGATGATGACCTGAGCTGAAATCAAGTGTCGGACACTTAACTGACTGAGCTACCCAGGCACCCCTGAATTTGTTTAATTGGAAAAACAGCACGCCTACTTACAGAGATGACCCCAAGAGGATGGAAAATCTGTTCCCATCTATTTTTGTCACCCACAACCCCACTTGGACAGGTGTACTAAATTTGTTAAATATTCCCTCATTTCTGAGGAATGCCACATGATGCTAGGAAAGGCTAGGGAAGAAGTTAACTGGCTACATGCTAAAACTCTAATAACTTCCTAAGAGCTAATGCCATACTGCCCACTCCTACTATGGATCCCAACTGGAACATCAAGGTGGAGACTGAGGTAAGCTTGAACACTATCACGGTGATATTTTAGGTGGATTAAGAAAAGGGGTCCCTACTCTGTGCAAAAGCTTTTTTTAATTTTGATGTAGTCCCAATAGTTTAATTTTACTTTTGTTTCCCTTGCCCGAGGAAAACATATCTAGAAAAATGTTTCTATGTCTGACGTCAAAGAAATTACTGCCTCTGTTTTCTTCATGTCTTATGGTTTCAGGTGTCACATTTAGGTCTTTAATCCATTTTGAGTTGTTTTTGTACAGTATAAGAAAGTGGGGGCACCTGGCTGGCTCAGTCGGTGGAGCATGTGACTCTTGATCTCGTGGGGAGTTCAAGCCCCACGTTGGGTGTAGAGATTACTTAAAAGTAAAATCTTAAAAAAAAAAAAAAAAAAAAAAAGAGGGGTGCCTGGGTGGCTCAGTCAGTTAAGCATCCAACTCTTAATTTTGGCTCAGGTTATGATCTCACAATCGTAGGATCAAGCCCTGTGTCGGGCTCTGTGCTGACAACCCACAACCTACTTAGAATTCTCTCTCCCTCCCTTTCTCTCTCTCTCTCTCTCTCTCTCTCTCTGCCCCTCCCCAGTTCATTCTTTCTCTCTCTCTCTCTCTCTCTCAAAATAAATAAATTAAAAAAAAAAAAAAAGGAAGAAAGCATAAATGGAATGAGGACCCTTCAGACTTTCTTGAAAGAATTTTTGAGATCCTGGGTCAGCATAGCCATGGTGGCTGTGTCCTTTCCACTTGTGTCCGCCGACTGCCTGTGGCCTTTGTGCCGCTGCCCCGGGTCCCCATGCTTGCCGCAGTCCGGCCGCTCAGCAACACCCTGTACCCGCGGGGGCCCAGGGGAGGCCTAGGTTTCCGCGTCCTGCCTTGATGCCCTGCCTCAGTGCTCACACAGGTTCCAATAACACAGTTGTGCCGCCAGTATAGTGATGCGCCCACTTTGACACTAGAGGGAAATCGAGGACTGTGTTCTTTACATCTGAAACTCTATGACAAGATCGACCCTGAAAAGCTCTTGGTAAATTCCCACTTTATGAAAGACCTGGGCTAAGACAGTTTGGACCAAGTGGAGATTATCATGGCCATGGAGAACGAATTTGGGTTTGAAATCCCTGATACAGATGCTGAGAAGTTAATGTGTCCACAAGAAATCGTAGATTACATTGCAGATGAGAAGGATGTTTATGAATAAAATATCAGACCCCATTTTTTCACTGAGAGAAGACTCAG